TAGATTAGTTGAATGTAATCAGAATGATAAGGCAGGAGAGATATAGTATTATTTAAATAACATTGTTTTTTATGACTGCCTCTGCTTCCGTGAGTCCCCCCCCAAACCCTTTTCTTTAAAGCAAGTAGGTTTATTTTATTTTATTTTCATTGTTTTGTCTTAATCATTTTGCCTCCACGTTCCGTGCAGAAGGGAGTTTCTTTAGATTCATGGAAAAACAATGCAAATTAAATAATCAGTGTTTTGCTTCCCTCTGTGTGCTTTGTAATAGGGCATTCTCTCACACAAAACATCCCAATGCAATTGGCAGTAATTGTGTCCTGGGTGAGCAGGCTCAGCAAGGTTGCCACAACCTGCACAGCAAACAGAGGGAGCAATGAGCAGAGGTCTCCAACTTACCTGAGAAAAGTAAGACCCCAAAGAATCAGGGCTCAGAAAATCTGACCAACTGGAGAGCATGCTGTTGGAGATAAGCTATCCTGGTTGTTCGTTTGTTTGTTTGTTTTTAATCCTTGACTCATGGTGAGGGCTTTTTCTCTCATAAGCAATGGATCTTCTGTTTGCAAGGTGGGGCACCTAATTTACATATCTACTTCAGGGAGTTTGGGTATGAGAACATACCTGTAGCAATTCTATCTGCATGAATGTCCTGTGCAAAAGGAACATTCCAAAAGGGGAAGGACTTTACGACCAACAGCAAGACTCTTGGGAATCAGAACTAAGACTGCTTAACTAAGATGAAGGAAAAAGTGGACAAGAGCAAGAGGAACAGAAAAGAAAATCCAGGTGCCAGACACTGAGCTATACACTTACGTATAGAATTGCTTTTCATCCTTACCTTATGAGATCGCTGTCATTGTCCTATCACCACCATCATCATCGCCACTCTATGACATTGAAACTGAAAATTATTTGGTTTAACACAGAGAGAGAGAGAGAGAAAAAAAAAAAAAGCAAAAACACCCAAAAAACTAAAACAAAAAAACCCTTAGGATCTGATTCCAGGTCTGTTGGGACCTAAGATTCATGACTTCAACAGTTCTCAACTAATTGGGGTTTTAAAAGGCTTTGCTATCAAACGTGCTGGGGTTGAGTTGAAATATGGCTTCCTCAAGGAGACCTTCCTTGCTCCCCGGTCCTTGGTCGGGTTCCCTGGTAGTTACAGATATATACGATATTTATTTTCCTCCCCTTGCCTTCACATACTTGACTGCAACCCCAAGAAGGCAAGGACTGCTGTTCACTCACCATTCTAGTCCTAGCACCTAGCAGAGTACCTGGCACGATGTAGCCATTCTCTATTGGTATGTGGGGTGTGTGTGTGTGTGTGTGTGTGTGTGCACGCACACACGCACGTGTGTTTCCTCATCTATAAAAACGTGGTGAAAAATACTTACGGTGAGAAGTGAATGAGATCATTGTAAGGTGACTATTACAGAGCCTGAAAAATAGAAGTATTTTTTTGTTGCTGGACTGTGTGTCTTTCCACGAGACACTCTGATGAGACCAAGTTATGGGAAACCCTGGAATTTCTCTGGATACCACTTAAAAAATTAAGTTTCACTAATAATCTATTTAAAAAGCAAATGCACTGCAAAAGCTCTTCCCAAGTCACTGACTTCACAGCCGGAGGGGGGTGATGACTACCACCGGGTTGCTGCATCAGAGTCGGCCACTCAGGATGTGGCCTTTGCACCCTGGTTGGCACAGACTATGCTCCAGCAGGTGCTCCGGGAGTGGGGAAATGCCTCTCAATGAGCGCCTCTAAGGATGGGAGAGGGTTAGTTAGACCAATTCGTTGAGGTTTTTCCTATGGAAACATGAAGCTGGAAAACTGAACTTCCCCCCAGATACTCCCTAACCTAAGGGTTGGATTGGGGTGGATTCTTTCCTTGAGGAAAGAAAACTTCTTTACTAAGCACTAGCAGCCAGTTTCGATCTTGCCCCCCTGAAGACCCCGAAGGCAGCCAGGACATAACAGGACAGGACAGGACGGGTCCGTACAAGGTCGTCCTAGATCCAAGGCCCAAAACTCCCTCCACCCTTTGGTTCCCCCACCTGAACCGTGTCCAGTCACAATGTCTGATTTAGTCTGTCGGTGGTTCTGCAATGAGATGACGTGATAACCTGAAGGCTCCCTGGTAACAGAAAGACTGCAATATATTTGAACTTGAGCCTTCCTCCCTTATGAGATTCCCAAGGAGACAACTGGGGTTCAAAGATGAAAACTCAAAGAAGGGTGGGCCGCGCTGACCTCTGCAGACTCCTCCCCATTGGGTCCCTGTGAACCAGGACACACAGGAGAGAGCAGACCCTGCGCCCTCCCAGGGCAGCCAGCTCCCCAAGGGGAAGCACTAGATCTTGCCTGTCTTGTTCCTTCCCTCCCACTCACCAACTAGTCAGGCCCTAATGAAAGACCCCAAGGAAAGCAGCTCAGAAAAGCACCCACCCACACACACATGCTTTCCAGAAGGGCTGCAGCAAGACTGCCATGTGACAAATAGACGATAGAGAAGACGAGTTCATGGTCCACGTGGAATTTTGCATGCAGCCCCCTTCCACTTCTTGCTGGGGTTCACCAACGATACATCCCACTGGGACCCACCCCCACCCAACGTCAGCTCTCCTCTTCATGACTTCCATGGACCCAGTGAATCCTCTACTGGGGCTGCCTCTGCATCCTTGTTTTCTGACTGGATTTGGAAGGCAATTCATCACCCTCTCTTCATCGCTCAGTCTCGACACCTCACTACCAGATCCCAACTTCTAGAAAATTCCTGCGGAGATGCTACTTGTAACTAGATACTGTGAAGTATGCTAAATGTAGTTTCTAGAATTTTATCCAAACCCAAAAATCTTTCAGTGATGGGAGCAAACACCAAAACCTGCTTTGACACAAAGTACAATGAACCCTTGAACAACATGGGGGAGGGGGCACTGACCCTCTACGTAGCCAAAAACCCGGGTATACCTTCTCACTCCCCTCAAATTTAATTCCTAATAGCTTGCTGTTGACGAGAAGCCTCACCAAGAGCATAAACAGTCAATTAACACATATTTTGCATGTTATATGTATTATACACTCTATTTGTATAATAAGCTACAGAAAAGAAACTGTTATTAAGAAAATCATAAGGAAGAGAAAATACATTTACAGTACTGTACTGTATTTATTTTTAAGAATATGCATATAAATGGGCCCGTGCAGTTCAATTTGTGTTGTTCCACGCCCAACCTTACTACATTTCCTACTTTAAAATCATTCTTTTTTTTTTAATTTTTATTTATTTATGATAGTCACAGAGAGAGAGAGAGGCAGAGACATAGGCAGAGGGAGAAGCAGGCTCCATGCACCGGGAGCCCGATGTGGGACTCGATCCCGGGTCTCCAGGATTGCGCCCTGGGCCAAAGGCAGGCGCCAAACCGCTGCGCCACCCAGGTATCCCTTAAAATCATTCTTAATGTGATCTGTCAACATTTTTGTGGGGTGCCTGGGTGGCTCAGTCGGTTAAGCATCTGCCTTCAGCTCAGGTCATGATCCCAGGGTCCCGAGATCAAGCCCCGCATCGGGCTCCTTGCTCAGCACGGAGCCTGCTTCTTCCTCTCCCTCTGCTGCTTCCCCTGCTTGTGCTCTTTTGCTCTCTCTTAAATAAATAAATAAATAAATAAATAAATAAATAAATAAATAAAACCTTAAAAGAATTTTGTTTCTCTCTGAACTGACCTCCTTACTGAAAGAAAAAAAATAAGAGTTGGTCACCAGTGCCAGAGGGCACCTTCATGCTTGTGCGGTCTCTCGCTCTCTGTCTTCCTTCAGCAAGTCTTCTTGGCTCCTCTCGGCCAGTTGAGGTGCCTGTCGCTGTGCTCCCACAGGACCCAGTGTACTCCTCAATTATTGCTCTTTCACTCGGCATTGAAATGATCTGCGTATGTATCCAGCAGGCATACATGAGCCTTTTGGAATGAGGAGTTAAGGGGCAAGAACCACCTCCGCTTGCCCAGCCCCAGCATGATGTCTTGACACATAACACAATGAATACGTGTTGAGTTAATCAGTTAAACTCGATGGCAATTTTTTAAAAAATTTGCCTATATAGAGCGCTCTGCAATATGAGGCCCTTTATTATAAATCTTGGAAGAATGATAAAAACAATAATAACATCTTACAAGTGGATAGCTCTTGATTGCACCCTCAAAGCTCTTACTTCACCTGGTCTTTTCAAAATGCTTTAAGAAAATTAGGTAGACTGGGTACATTCAAGCCGATTGGACACTTGAAAATGTGACCAATTTCATCCTGTCAGAGTGTCAGAGCCCTATTCTGAGTCTCCAACTTAGAATCTCTCCCTCCGAAACTCCAAGGCTCATTCCAGAGCTTGCCCAGCCCTGACTGGGATGCCCTGGTCTCCCATAGTGGTAACTCCACTCTTCACCCCAGAAGAGACCTCTCTCTGAAGTCACAGAATTCTTCTCTGTTTGCACAGACCCAGGCACTCATCTTAAATTCTCTGATACGGAAATGCTGTTTCATCACCATCTATAAGTTTGTAATTTAAAAAAAATATATATTTACAAGGGGATGAGATCTCTTCCTAATTTTCAATTTCCTTTCCTGACAAACTGCAGATTTCAGTGAAGAGCCCTGGACAATCTATCTCTATTTTGATCTTAGACAAAACAAGAAAGAAAATCACACCGGGGAGTGCATGACCTTTGATTCAGCCTAAATTATCTTTGGTGCCCGTGAGACTAATTGGGGGGAAAAGTGCGATGTTACCCGAGTTCATGCTACCATGTTGGAAGGCAAAGACTCCCAAGGTAAGAGCAAACTGAACTTAGGTGAAAGTTAAGACAGATAGGCTTTTTGCTTCTGCTGGCAAGCAAGGCTGGAGAATGTGAGGCATTTCTGCAGGTATTATCTTGAGTCCCTCTTCCAACTTTATAGGGATTGCAAGGCAATCCCCATGGAGGTGGCTGGGGCAGAAGCAGCACCAACGGCAATGATGTAGGTACCAGAACCCTGGGATCACTAGCACAAAGGTGTGTTCTTGAATTCTCACCTCCAGCGTTGGTTTCATATGGTAACTCTCTTAGGGTCAGCGGAGAATGGTTTTGAGAGCCTTCTCATGCCCTCTTCATGCCCACCCCACCAGTCCTTCTGACAATTTTGGAAACAGCCAACTCCCCATCTTTTTTTTTTTTTTTTTTTTTTTTTTTATTTACGATAGTCATACAGAGAGAGAGAGAGGCAGAGACACAGGCAGAGGGAGAAGCAGGCTCCATGCACCGGGAGCCTGATGTGGGATTCGATCCCGGGTCTCCAGGATCGCGCCCTGGGCGAAAGGCAGGCGCCAAACCGCTGCGCCACCCAGGGATCCCCAACTCCCCATCTTAAATCCCTTCTTGTTTAAGTGTTTAGAGTGGGTCTGTCTCCTATACGAATCCCTGATTGACTCATTATCCTTAGCTCTAAAACCACATAGCTCTCCCTGTTAACTCGTTCAGCTGCTAATTCAGTCCCTCATTCTCCTCTTGAATCTCACCTCTCTTTGGGACTTGATGCTGAGCATTGTTTACCATCCAGGTTCATTCAGGGCCAGAGGGTAGGATTGTTCCTCCCATAACCTTCACAGGGTCACCTTGGTGGGACAAGAACCAGTTCAGAAGTGAGTCTGCTGGGCAGGTACTCAAAGCAAGAATGTAATTCCCACCATACTAAGCATCCAGGGTGGATCTGGAAATTCTTCTCCCCAGCAAAGACGTTTTAAAACCATCCTTTAAAGAACTGACCTTGCAGGGAAGAACTAGTCTTCAACAAATGGCTACTCTAAGTTTTAGAAGACTAGGTCAATGTGGTGCTATTCTCAAGACCCGAGAGGTGGAAACAACCCAGGCGTTCATTGTAGATGAATGGATGAACAAAACGTGGTATATACATTCAACGGACTATTATTCAGCCACAAAAAAGAATGAAGTTCTGACACACGTTACCATATCGATGGCCTTGAAAACGTTAGGGTGCATGAAATAAGCCAGACACGAAAGGACAGGTGTTGTATTATCTCACATATGAAATATCTAGAAGAGACAAATTCAAACAGACAATAGATTAAACGTTATCAGGGACTGACTGGGGTGAGAGGGAGAATGGAGCTTCATCACCTAAAGGTTACAGAGATTCTGTTTAGGATGATAAGTGTTTCAGAAGTAGACAGTGCTGTTGGTTATAAGGCACTGTTAATGTAATTAATGCCCCTGAATTGAGTTATACCTTAAGAATGATTAAAATGTCAGATTTTCTATTGGATTCACTTTACCACCACCAAAACAACAAAAGTAACAACAGTTACGTAAAAGAGTGTTTAGCTCCCTAAATGTTTCCCATAACAGTTCTGGGGAGAATGATGACATAATGCATTTTCCACCAAACACATGGCCCGTACATCTGGAGACCTTCTCTAAATATGAGAATTCTGTTAGAGGTTTCCTTCCATTTTCATGACTCATGTTCCCCTTCCTTGTGCCTCAAGCCAGTCTCTGTTTAACTTTGGTATTGGTTCCCCCCCCCTGCCCTCCCCCCCCCACCCCGCACTGTCTCCCTGAGTCTACACTCTTTCTCTTTGGGTCTCCTTTGCCCTGCTGGATATGCACATCTTCTCTCCCTGGAAGTGACCCTGAACACCTCAAATCTTCTTTCGAATTTCCTTAGTCTGCTTTTGAGGACTGGAGAAGAGCTAGCATGGGACAGAAAAGATGTCTTCAAAGGACCTTGGGAAATTAAAAGGGAAATTCCACATGGGTAGTGGATGCATTGCCTGTTCTTGTGTTGCTCATTTACAGGAGGGAGAAGAGGAGGATTAAGCAGCTAGAGATATTAACAGCCTAAAACTCTAAGCTGCAGCCTCAAGTCAGTAATTTCCAGCTTTGAATCCTTATTTGATGGTCTCCATACTACACAAGAGCTCTCCTGACACTGTCTCCAACGTGAGTTCTAAACTGAGACTGCCATGCTGAGCAAGGCCAGAGAACCGCTCGCTCCCAGCTGGAGGTGGCATGCCTCCTTGTATTTCCAAGACAAGGCTTTATTTTTAAAGTTTGTAAAACCTAAGCTGAAATGCTGTACATGTGTCTCACAAGCAAAAACCAAAGGGAAAAAAAAGATGATTGCAGAAGTCAGTCTTCTCAAGTAGAAACCATGCCACTAAAAAGTTTTCTTAAACTTATAATCAGCACCCCAAAATGGCCTTCAAAAATGTAGGAGGATGACGATTCATTCAAACAAAAGGGACTTAAAAAAAATTCTTTGCCTTAGAAAAATGTCTTTCAATCTCTCTCAGATCAAAACACAAAGCCTTATTTGCTTATCCACCTACATATATATTTTTTCAATCTTCATATCAGAATAACAATCATATTCTCATCATAATAATAACATAATAGCCCTCACCTAAATCTATCTCCAATAAAGCAGCTTTATCATTACATATGCCAATGCTGGACCCCACCCTGGCTCCTGCAATATCAGTATCTCAAGGTTAAATAGGGTGTTAGTCATGAAATTCTTAAAAAAAAATATTTCTTGAAATTCATCATGATTTTCATGCAACTGAAGGTAATTTTCTCCGGATTTGTAAGGTTTTCTAGAGAAGTATTCTATTCCCTGAACTTAAGGTGATCCCTGGGCTGCAAGATTTGTAGTTTGAGCTGTGTAATTGCCTTTAACCAAGATGGCATTTTTTTCCACGTGACCCATTAATGTGGGACATGGTGGGAACCGCACGGCCCACAAGCTGTAGGGTTACTGGGGCTACTTCTGCCCGGTTCCGAGGGGAGTCTGGTTTTCACCCAGCCCCTAGGTTCACTTACCAAGCACTACCTGAATGCGGCTATTGAATCATCATTTCAGAGTCTACATTTTATAAAACTTACTAAACTGCTAAGTTGTAATCTTGAGAAATAAATCTTTTCTGAGAAATTTTTTTTTCTTCTTAAATTAAAAAAACTTATGACACTTCTCTTCTTCTATCTGACTTCACCCTGTTCACAACCTCTAAACTAATTAAGGAATTATTTTGCATCTTCTTCCTCTGAGAGGACAGAGTGCCTTTGTATGACAGAGACACCATTCAAAAGTGATGTGACAACCCATATTCCATTTTAAGTTGCTAAAACTTGGGGGAGGGGGAACATTCAAGACAACAAATACACCCAAGGGAAAATCAGAGGTGAAGCATTGGTGATGGACACTATTATAATAATATTATATTAAATATAATTAAAATCATACTTTAGGTCCAGTAAGTTTGTGCAGAACTAGAAAGACCTTGAAGATCATTGAACATTTTCAATGACCAATTTCTCTATTTTGAAGAAGGGAGATGCTGGGGCCTAAGAAGTTGAAAATCCTCTGAGTCTCTGTCATGAGGCCTTTCATGGATACAGGCCTGCTCTGGAAGGTGCATCTCTTGCTTCTGACCCCCTCCTGTGCTGCCTACTGTTGGCTGTGTGATCCCAGAACAAAAGGAAGACATGATAGACAGAAGTGGACCAAGAGTGAGCCTTTCCCTCACCCTCAAAGATAAACAGGTCACCTTGGAGGTGAGATGGCCTTTTGCATACCAACGTGGTTTGATAAGTCAGTTCTGGTCAGGGATGCAAAAACAGTTTCCAGCCATATTTCTGGCATCCTCTGCCCTGGCCCCTCCATATTTCTTTGGCTAATTTTTCCTACCTTAGTTCCCAAAAGGCCAGAAGACAAGTAAGCAGCAAAGCATTTGCTTGCGCTCATAAGAAAAATAATTAAAATTCACCCTGTTGTTGAGTGAGATCGACTGATGAGAAGAAAGATCAGCTTCCTCTCTCTTTTTCTCTTCCGGTCCGAGGCACTCGGGGGTAGACCCCAAGTTCCTGAGGAACATGCGCTTTGCCAAGAAGCACAACAAGAAGGGCCTGAAGAAGATGCAGGCCAACAATGCCAAGGCCATGACTGTGCGTGCTGAGGCTATCAAGGCCCTTGTCAAGCCCAAGGAGGTTAAGCCCAAGATCCCAAAGGGCGGCAGCCACAAGCTCAATCGACTTGCCTACATCGCTCACCCCAAGCTCGGGAAAGGTGCTCATGCCTGCATTGCCAAAGGTCTCAGGCTCTGCCGGCCAAAGGCCAAGGCCAAGGCTCAAACCAAGGCCCAGGCTGCAGCTGTGACCCCGGCTCCGGCTCCGGCTCCTGCTTCTACTCTTGCAGCGCAGGCTCCCAAAAGTGCCCAGGCCCCCACAAAGGCTCCAGTGTAGAGGCTTCTGCCTGCCAGTGTGAGGACGGAAGGACTGGTATGACCCCTGGGCTTCTGTCTTCATGGGCCTGGTGTCCTCCTGTGCTATTTGAACAAATAAACCTGCGGCAGGATCTGTCAAAAAAAAAAGAAAAAAGAAAAAGAAAGATCACTGCTAGAGCAATCCGGGCAGGGGTGTGTGTGTGTGTTTGTGTGTACATGTGTGTGGTATTTTATAGTGTTTAAATTGGGCTCAACAGCTCCATTTCTTGCACCAAGAATTGCATTACAGAGTGTTTTACTAACATAGTTATAGTGGGTAAGAAATTTGGTGGAGTTGATAAATTTCATGGATCCTGGGAGCTCAAGAAAGAAAAGAAGAGGGGGAAGAGGAAGAAGGGGCTGCGGAGAGAGGGAGAGAGAGAGAGAGAGAGAGAGAGAAAATTTCTCAGATTTGTAAATCCAAGAGAGATCTTAGTAAGCCTTTTCTTCCCTGTTAAATACTGAGTGGAGTGCTCAGCGAGCACTGTCTCCACCCGTACTGTGGATATGCCTTACGAGTGGACAAGCTCTTACGCTACTTGATTAAGACAATCTCCTTGGGTAGATTATTCAACCAAATGCTGGCTTCTAAACCATGGTGGGTTTGTGTTACAGCGATATTCCACAGCGATCTTTTTTAACCGGCCTTTAAAACACGAAGCAGGCCTGGATTAGCTCACCTGATGAATCTCAGGATCCGTAGGTCCCCTCCGGTTGGAGTCATTGTGTATCCGCGTCTGGTCCACTGCTCTTCTCAGCAGGGGAGACTGACGCCTTGGTCTGTCTTTCAAACTCACGGAAACACAACCATCTCAAGTGGGATTCTTTTCTTCCAATATTCATGGAAACTAATTTTAGACTCATTTGGTATTCCACTGCCAAACACAAAGAAAATTCCAGGCCCACTAGGAGGATGGTCAGAATGACTAAGTTTCTACCGTCTTCCTACATGCATTGCTCTGATGTGATTCTTTACTATCAAAACATCATGTTTCTGTTCCAGAGACAACATGTAAAATTAAGAATGCCTTTTTTTTTCTCCCAGATTAATGAAAGATATTGAAAATGGGAGCAGACTGTCCAAATGGAAACTGCATTGCCTTTGGAATGGAAAGTTGGGCTTGGACTCTGTCTTTCACTCATTCAATAACTATCTACTGGCGGCCTATTGTTCCTCAGGCACTGTGCCAGGAGTTTGGCCCTTTCCAATCATAGGATCTGGGTATGCAATTTAACACTTCCATGCTTTATTTAAGCCAGACCCGTTTTGCAGTGCCACACTGCCCAACTCTACGTGGCCACCCAATATCAGAACTCCCAAAGCCACCCTTCCTGCAAAGATGTGTGCCTTCTTTGGCCAGTGGCTTATCTGCAGAATAAATACAGGCATAGGTCAGCCCACAGGGGCAATTCCTGCCCTTGAATCTCTCTTCCAAATCCCCCAATGCATACAGTAGACAAACAGAGAGTGGCTCAAGACGGAGAGAGGTAGGATCCTTTTAGTCCCTAAATAGCTAGAGTCTAAGTCAATATTCCCCTTTTAAAAGTCAGAAAAGAAACTGACTGGATAGATGGAGAGCGAATCATCTGTGTACATGGAAAACTCTCAAATGCCTGCCTGTTTATCCTCAATGGTCAGTGAAACCTCTCTAGAACTGGGGCCATTACTATATATGTGACTCTAGCCAAGTCACTTAACACTCCCAGGTATTTATTGAGCTTATTGGTGTTACCATCATCATCATCATCATCACCATCATCATCGTTCTCATCCTCATCTGGACTTCCTGGTCAGAAAGAGCATTATTGAAAGGCTCTACTTTCAGGCTTTCAAAGACACCTTGTAGGGGTAGTCAGACTGCCAGGGTGAGGTGTGAAACTCCATCTTTCATTGGTGACTCTCTCCACCATAAAGAGGCAGTCTGCCAGCTAGAAGTCTACCTGTGTGAATGCCTGCCTGAACCAGTACGGAGACCTGGGAATGAATGGGAGTTATAGCAAGTGTACACAATCAGCCTCATTAATTGAGAAGAACCAGGGCTCCTCATTCTTTTTTTTTTTTTTTAAATAAATGGCAACTAGGCTGGTTGGACATGACCAAGAAAGGGACATGACCAAGAAAGCCCTAGAAGCCCCCACTTCAAGACAACTCCAAAAGATAATTCTCTGGCTGTTAATGGTATGTGGAAGGGGTGGGGCATTAGTGCTTCACCGCCCTTTAGATCCTGGGATGTAGAGTTCCAAGCCCCACTACTGTTCTAAGAAAATTCCTCAAGAGGCCACATAATTGTCCTGGACCAGTTGCACACTCAGGCAGTATTGGTAGCTAAGAGCCAAGAGGAGAGCTTTTCCAGCTTCCAGCTCTATGACGATGACACGAAAATTCATTTTTATAGAAGGATGGTCTCAGGGGCATTGATGGTCAGAGCAGAGGGTCCTAAGCTCCTCTCCATCTGTCCAATGAAGCTTCTATTTTCAATCTGGCAGGTGAAGGGGCTATAACATTTCCTCAGTTGTATTGAATATTTGCCAAACATTGGTTGTCGGTACAGCCAAAAGGATGTTCCTGGGGCTAGAAGGTCATAGTGTGATGTCCATTTCTCCCTGCTAGAGACCAGAAAGAGTGTCTTAGAGAATGGAATCAGAGCTGGGTGGGTGGGCATCCGAGGAAGGGTACAGCACAGTAGGATCCCTGGTTTTGCTACACAGCGTGGGCAGCCCAAGCCTACTATGACAAAAGTGTGTATAGCCCCAAAACTCTTACAACTTAATGGGACTTAATGTCCAGGCTCGTTTTTGGCACATTAAAAACCAGTTTGTCAGGCTTGAAAATTAACAAGGCTGACATAAAATATTTTAGACTGATTGACAAGAAGAAAGATTTCACGTGGGAGATTTGGTGACCTATTGAACCTGTCTCTTCATGTAACAGCCTTTTGCTTTTTGAATAAACGTTGGTTCTAGAAGAGACTGTGAGGGCAACCCCCCACACACAGGCCCTTGCCTAAACGAGGTATCACTTAAAAATGTCTGGGCCACCTAATCCTTTCTCAGGGAATCTGTCCAAGCCCACAGTCTCCGCCAGTGAGCAGAACCATGTTCTGTACCACCTGACACAGCTGTAGTCCAGGGATGAGCATCTTTCTCAAGGACAGTGCAAACTAAAGAGACCAAGGACCCAAGATTTATGCGGCCAGACTCAAAGAGTTTAGGTGAGCTGGGCCAAAAAAGGTTTCTCTAGAAATATTTGGACCCAGGACACTAAAAGGCTATTTTAGTTATGTAGGCCACTGCACATAGAATGCTCCAGGTTCAGGGTGACCCCAGGGAGTCAGGCATAGACCATGAGAGAGCTGAGGAAGGTGATGGTGAAGAGGGGAATGGGAGCAGGTAAAAGGAGGACGAAAATGCTGCCAGGAGGAAGAGGGAACAGACGAGAGTTCGGAGCTATGCCGACTCCCCCGCCGCTCCCGGCTTGCACATCCCTCAGGCAGCTCCTCTTCTCTTGCAACGATGCTGTACACAGATGCTGCATTTCAAATACCACCTCTGGTCACTCCAGGGAGAGGCTGGCATTTGCCAGGCAGCGCATCTGGAGGTCTTTGGAGGCACGTTTCTCTTCCAGTTCCCAGCTAGATGCGGGTGTCTTGTCTCTTACGCCACAAGATTTTATTTTCCATTCTTTACCAGCAGGAACTGCTTAGGCTTGCACGCTCTTGACATTAAATATATGGTACATGCTTCCAGGTCAGTTGGTGGAAAGTAGTGGCCTTTACCCCAGAAACTGATTGTTTGATCACAGACTTATTAGAGTTGGAAAATATCACTTTCGGAATGATTCTTTGCTGCAGTCTCAACAACAGTCTCATTTTTCTTCCTGAGGGACACATTTTCAAGAGCCAGATGGTGCATATGCTGCAGCAGAACTCTGCTTCCCCCCCCCACTCCGCCTAGATTCACTTCAAACACTTTCTTTTCATCCAGAGAAAATATTTATGCGCATTTGTTTAGCACTATCCCAAATATCTCACTTGGCCCTCAAGCAATGAGGTGATGGGAGTACATGAGGTATTATTTCTCACAAATTTAAAATTAGAGACCAAAGCCACAGAGATACAGTGACTTGCAGAAAGCACACAGCAGGGGCACGTAGGGTGGAGACCTGAATCCAGGCCTTCTGATGCACATCCAGGGTCCTGTCCACCACAACAGAGGACAGATCTGATTTTATTTTCTACCAAACTTTTTCCGCTGCAATAAAATCCTAAACAGTGCAATCACGTTGAACCAAGTCCTTCACCTATCTTCAGGGGACACGCACACACATGCTGGAAAGAAGGGTATATCCTGGAGCTCCTCCCTACTCACCTGTTGAGGCCAACAGAACTCAAACCCAAGACCCTTAAAGTCACTACGCCAAAAATCATTAAAGTGTTCGTAGTGTTACCAGTAGTATTTTTCAGCCATTCATGTATGTAAAACATACTTACTAAGCATCTGCCAGGTGCCAGACATTATTGCACCGGCTGGAGGTGAATATGTGAGTAAAATGAGACAACAGCTCTGTCTGCGTGGAACTTGCGTATGTGAGGGAGGACAAAGGTAGTAAGGAATTGCATGAAGCCAGGTGTGATTAGCGCTCTGGAAAGGCCAACAGCACAGTAGCAGCTTGTGACAGGGCGACCATACGTGTCTGGGGAAAGCGATGTTTGGGTGGAGACCTGAGTGAGGTGTGGAAGGGAGGCCTGTCCAAATATGGGGCCCGAGAGCTCCAGGTAGAAGGAACAGCAAGTGCAGAGCCCAGCTGGGAGAATGCTTTGCCTGTTGGAGGAAGAGCAGGTCAGCAGGGCTGTAGCTGCATGTTGAGGGGACGAGTGGGAGGGAATTAAATAATGTGACCTCTTCCCATCACACTTAAAATGAAATCCAGTCTTGACCATGACCTGTGCGATCCGGCCTGCGTAGCTCTCCCCCTTCATTTCTCTGCCTCCTGAAGTCTGCTCCACCTAGAACCTTCCCATCTTAATGCA